GTTCGCTATATGCATTGAACTATCCTGTTGCATACCAACAATAGTAAAACAACAAATCCTAATGTGAACAAAACAGAGAACAGAAAACACAGACAACATTGAAGGCATATGCCAGGTGCTCTCTATGTAAGGGACGTATGAATTTCTTTGGGAGGATTCCGTCCGGAGGGTTTACCAAGGGAAGTGTGCACAAATATAGCTATCATTTCTGAGGCCCGGCTGTTTCGCGTCAGACCATCGTCACCACTCCTCCCATCTTTCTTGTTGACAAACGTCAGATGCTGCGATACTGAACAGATTACGCATGACCTACTCATGTTAAAACCGCTTACTTAAACATAAACCGCCTTCTTATGACTGAGTCATGCTCACTTAATCTGCGTCTAGCCTGAAAATGTCCTTTCAAAGGGGACGCCCCGGAGTTCCGGGGTCTATCTTTTCTGAGTTTAGCCTTTTCAAGGTGCTGAACAAGGTAGCACATCAACAGAAGTGCTTTCTAGATGCTTCGAAGAAAAGCAAAGTCACAACTACGCACAAACCCTCGACAAATCACCCATCGAGCACTGCACGTATCCACTACACTACCAGCACCTTGAAAGCTCTGATTTCATAGGCGTTTTTGTGGAAGATACAAGGGAACTGAATTATGTCAGAATAGAAAAAATTTCCTCGTGACTTCCTCCTGGTAGCCGTCTCGCAGTTTCTAAATGCAGATTTTAATTCAGTGGCTCAAGCCACGTATGACTATATACTCCTCGCTACAAACGGCTGGACTAACCGATTGACCATTGTTGGACGAATTCCACTGCGTTGATGAAATTCGAGGTGTACACTCCACATACCAGGAATGGTAGGGTGTGGCTGTGTTCTTCACTTAAGCGTAATGGAACAAATGGAATGGAAATGGAACTTTCTTGGAACATTTCCAACGAGGCAACAGTCGCTGTCTTGTGCTGGACAAAGCAGTTACACTTGTCACAAATCGAGTTAAATTAAAAGCGACCACGCCGCCACGTTCGAATTGAATTGTGTGCAACCACGCCCCCCCCCCATCTCCGGAATATGGAGTGTATGCCTAGGTAAACATAGTCAAGCTGACAGCCGATCCCGTTTCTGATAATATTTTTCTAGCAAGGAGATCGCACACGCCGGTTCCTCACATCAGCAATGGACGCGGAAGCCAATTTAGAGAAGTTCAGTTTATCTAGTTCACACCGCTCATTTCAGGAAACTTCGTTTGCAGCCCATCGCTTCAAAGACATTGTAAACTCACCTGTTTCCCGGCTGTTTTCGGAACTCTGCACGCTGTCGCTTGCCAACCACATGTATAACTAAACGCGCTACTTGTCTGCATCCTCTCACTTCTGCTTGCTCTCGTATGCTTACTGCGTGTTTTGCTGCGGGATCTTTGGTATCGTCGCAAGCGCTAAGGTTTAAGGACAGAGAGGTAGAGCCCCACTTCCACGCTCTTCGCGCTCTCTGAAGTGCCGAAAGCTCACATTTGTAATACTTGCACAGCATAATCCACATTATCTGACTCGCATTGTGGTGAATTTCATATCCTGAACTATGAGCCGAAATCCATTCCATGTACGCATGCCATGAACGTACCTCTTCATTGCCGGAGTGCAAAATGATGTCCTACCTGTCGAGCATGTTCTACAACTACAAATTGAGGAAATCCAAAGTGTTTTGCAGTCACAGTCGTATAGTCTGTAGCTCCAGCGCTCACTTATTATGCCTGACAGCGCCTGTCAGCGAGTGTGCTCATCCTTCGTATGAAGAGGGCTGATAGTGCCTACTATATATAATTTGTTACGTCTCTTTTTCGCTTGTCCAAAAACTCAGTTTCACCTATAGAGCACTTTGTAGAGGTCGGTTCAGGGTTGGGATCGGACAAGACGTGCAGAGCCCTCAAAGACAGCTCCTGCGCTTAAGTAGTACATGGTCATCCTTCCTTGTGCGAGTAGTACAGCCCCTAAGCTAGAAGCTATCCCACTCTCGCGACTTCACAACGAGCGAGGAGCAAGCTACAGCCCCTCAAAGTTCTGGTTCTGACGCCCGCTCAGTTGGATTGCCTCACTTGCTAGATGCCCTCCGACGGAAGGCCGCTCAGTTGTTTTTGCTGGGGCGGCGGGCACTAATCGGAATTCATGTCCTTTTCGTAAGCACCCGGGCCCATAAATAATTCTGCTTTCCTTTACTACATTTTACTAATTAGCCATACAGTCAACTTTATCCCATCTCGAAAGGTAAAACGCGTAAAAATCACGAGCGACCCGATTTTCGTGGTGCAAAACCTCGACGCACTGAACACACTAAAAGATGCACGCTACCGTATCCTTAACTCGGAGGCCGAGTTTTTGAAAGTTTATTTTCTTTTTTTAAGAGTTTTTCTTCCGTGTTTTTGTTGTTTCCGTATTATTTTTTTGCATTGGATGATATCTACTTTGAGATGCGAAAAAGGGATTTGTGAGCCAGAGGTTGCACAATGACCGCAGAGCTGTGTGACTGACAGGGAGAGAATTGTTTATGGTGCTCTTGAGAACTCTTCTTGCTTTTTCTCTTTTTGCAGAATTACTTATCAGCTACTGTCTCGTAATTGAAAAGCAACGATCCATAGCACTCGCGGGAGCTGTCTTTATCTTATTTTAAGTCCCGCCCACAGCAAACGGAAGTGAGCGGCTTCGCAGATGGAGGTTCGTACCTCAGTTCCAAAGCACCAGAGATGGGGAAAAGGTGGTCTGACGTCAACAAGAGGTTGATAGGACAAGGTGGCGAGTTGCACTTGAGACGGGTGGAGCTTGCCATGTAACTCCATAGCTCGATTCAGAGAGAGCCAAGGAAAAATCGTCGAAGAGGAGCAACTGACGAAAGTTGAGCTTGTCTGTTATGTGCTGAAACCTGACCACAGTGGGCTTAGTGTGCTCTTAGATATGAGGTGAGGTCTACTCTATTTAAGATATTGCTATCTGTTGCCAAAGTACTAGAAAGACTCGGGTGTAAAGTCAGCAAGGAATCGGCGGCAAAGAAGAGTCACCTGCTATGGACTCCGCGTGCGAAGAGATGAACGTGATAAGAGTCAAAAGAATTTTCACTGAAGCAGAAGCAGCCCAGCGACCGGCAGAAAATTTGTTAGGGTCAGCAGTGAGTCAGCGGCTGAAAGGAGGGAGGCACATCCAGGATGGGCTTAGCGCGCATCGAGATGGATGAGGCCAAAGTCAAAAATTCATGTATCAATTCCAGGGTACTTCAAAAAAATGCAGCTAGGGGAGCAAGGAGACAGGAGTGAAATGCGGGAGACACACGCCGCGGGCGCAGCGTGCGCTGAAGCAGGCGTGGCAGATTTGTCACTGTTGCCATGGTTTAGTATACAGGATACCCTGTGCGTTGAGAAAACAAAAAAAACAACAACGAACAGCACCAACCCAAAATCAGTGCGATAAAACAGCAACATCAGAATTTTCGTGTCAGTGGGAAAAGGAAGTGTTGAGTAATTATTGCAATGTAAGATGCATGTAAAAGTGCTACGATGTAAGGTGCTCGTCTGAAGCGGTCTTAAGGGCGCTAAGATAGCAGGTGATTGCTCCTGGAGGTGCCACCCTCTTCAACTCTGGAATAGTTCTATTAATAAAGAAGTGATGTCTGAATTACTCCTGTCTTTGCGAGCAGCCTTCGATGATTGATTCTGTAATAGCAAAGAGAGATTGATTCTGAGACCACGGCGAAAGTAGAAAATCTGATGAATTTTTCCTTCCAATAGCTAGAGTTTCATTATTGAGGATGAGGTTTCGTTTCACGCTGGCGGGTATATGATCATAATGGAAACCCCACTATCCTCAATCAGGTACTTCTCGTGAAATTATTTTGTGCCCTTTCTGAACGTTGATATTTTTGCTTTCACTCGGATTGTAAACTACGGTTCCGTACTTCAACAGTGGTCTAATGCAGGTCTTGTGCACTGCATAATATGTACAGGACATTCCACGTTAGGAAGGAACTGAACATATTATGCATCATAACACCTGCTCTGGATGCAATTTCCGAACAGTGGGTATCGAAACTTGGGTCACCTCGAATCTTCAACCTCACCAAGATGCACCCCATGAATAATATACGATGGAACAGAATTAACTTTTCCTATGCGAAGAACCTTAGTTTCCTCATTAACGACAGGCAAGTCCCATTATTTGTTCATGTGCTGACCTGGTTAATAGCCTCTCGCAGCAGCGCTTTGTCCGCATCAGAGGCCATCGGTGATAATGTTTTATGTAGTCCGCGAAAGCAGCACACTTCGCTCGTGTAGATGCAGTAAGAAGCGGTACTTCAAATCCAAATGTGATGGAGAGAATAGGAGACAACACGTCACTTGCGGCATGCCTCTGTGCACCGCCTAGGTTCGGAAAATCTCTCGTTACATGTACTAGATGGATTCTGTCAAAAAGAAAGGCTCAATCCAATCAACAATTCTAGGATGGACACAAACTAGGGTGGGTTAAGCTATGAACTTCAAATGAGACGCTCTGTCAAACGCCTTCGCAAAGTTCAAATAAATCACGTCCACTCCAGCCATTTTCTTGGTATGTTGTCCAGTCGTTGAAAGCCTGCAGCATGGCTGGTACAGTCGATTTTCCGACTGCAAGCACTGTTGGTGCTCAAAATATATACCATACTGCTCCAAATGCGTCGTGAGCCTCCTTTTCAAAATTTTTTGAACAACCCGGCAGATGTGGAGGTAATGCTGACCGGTCTGAAGTTGGACAAACAAGGATATGGAGACTTCTTCGGATTTGGGGTTACGGCTGAAGCACGCCATCTAGATGGTACTTCAGCTCTCATAAACTCAAGTTGAAGAGAAAGCAAGTGGTCCACAAATTATGTGAGCTACCGTTTTGGTTACAGGACGAATATGGGTGTATTCGAACGGCATTCAAGCTCAGCTTTGTCCTCATCATTGCATACCGCATCACCGAACCCCAAAAACCCTTACTTTTTCTTAGTCATGAGTTGAGCAACCTGTATAAGGAATCCTTATTCCTGGAGTAAATTACTTTCTTTTCTATTTGAATATAGCACTTGTTTAAAATTTTCTCAAGAGTAACTGTTGATTTGTTGTATTCATTCCAGTCCGCTTGAATGCCACTCAATACAATCTTATTCCACGCCAATTACTTTTTATTGTACAGTATGATCAATTGCGGCGGGAGGTGCACTCCAGTAGTCTTTTGAAGTTTAAGTGGAACAAATAACTTGATGGTTGATGAAGCACAGCTGAAAGCAGCTCATATTTGTCATTGCCTGAGTCAAGATCTGGAACCAGTCGATCGTGCAAAAGTATTCCTTGATTGTATTAAAGTTTGCATTCCCGTAGTCACGTATGAACATTATTTTGTCAGTTTATCCCATCTCAATGTTGAGATTAAAAGCAGCAGATGCATGATAACAACTACCTATTGGTGCCTAGACCTCAGTATTGCTTACAAGCTATAAGTTGTCGGTCAGAACAAGTTCTCAAATGTTTTGCCCGTGTGTACTCCTTACTACTGACTGACGGAAGTTTAGACAGCTACACATTTCTCTGAGACGAAGAGCCCGTGCTCCAATTGTTTCGAGGCCTACCTCCCTTCTGCCACAGAGTTTCAGGAAGGCCAAAATCACCGACTAGGATAAGGATATTATTAGTGCCTATCAGGTCGCCAATTGCTTTAAGCAACTGCTCAGACCTAGTTGTAGATTACGACGGTGTCTCACAAACCAAGACCAGTCTCACACTAGAACCCGCCATATCAAGTTCGACGCACATTCATATGCATCTGCTAGCGACTCGGCGAGTTGTTCTGGGGAAGAGACAAATTTCGGCGATCACAGTGAGGCCAGTCGCGCGTTTTTAGAGCTTGTCACATCTGAGGACTTCGTGCTGGCAGCAGAGATCTCCAAATGAAGACTCGTCACTGGTCATATCAGACAACCACGTCCCCGTTAGAGATTCAGCACTTGTGTTGACTATGTTTTTTATTTAGAACAATAATTCATCGACATTCTTGAATACTAGCTAGCAGCCACTTTGGACGAACATTATATAACCGTGGAGATGCTATATATTCAACCTTATTGTAGCGTCATCAACTCCTTGAAAGACTTGATACAATATCAAGTAACCACTTCCTGAAGGGTTCCTGTCCGTCTACTGTCGTAATGTCTACTGTCAGCGAAACCGTTACCATTGTCCTCCTTTGTTACGAGCGACTTCCCTTTCAGCACGTTTCCGCTCAAGTGCCTCCTTGAATAAGGAAGGCCCACTAAAAACGCCTTTCTCGACGGGAATTACTTCAGTTGAGGTGACCCTCGCAAAATAAGCTTGCGAAAAAAACGTTAAGTAGAACAACCTTGAGAAGTCTGAATACCTCAGACTGGGACGACCTTAGGTTGGCACGCTCAGGAGGGAAAAGACCTGAGACCTGTGAGTTCTTATAATCGGAAGGCGACAATCTAAGATCTTCACACTTTTGAGGCACAGTATTCTTCCTTCGACAAGCTCATTTCCTTGAACATGTACTCTTGCTGACTCCCACACTACAGCAGAAAGGAACACAGTACGAACAAGTAAGTTAGTTGAGCTGAAGGACGTGTTTACGTCCCACAGCAACTGGGGACCAGGAAAATTGAATGAAAGCGAGCAGTGGGTAGGGGAATTAGATTGGGTCACACCCGGAGTGGGCGGAACGGGCACTGACGCGGGTGGGGGCGAGGCCAAGTGCTCGTAACCAGGTTCCAGAGCACTCAAAAATGAATGAATCCCAGTGACCTCAGCACGGCTCCCTATCATTTATCGCTGATTGCCACAGATGCACATGATACCAGTCAGATCGTCTGCGCTCCTCCTTCTCTGAACAGCCTTGCCTTGCAATTCTTCTTTCGCTTTGCTGGGATACCGGTAATGTCCACCATGTCACTCATCTGCCCCCCTAATCAACGCTGTTTACCAGGACTGCATAAACTGGTATTAAGAAAGCGATGGGTATTATATGCTTTTAGGTGAGGAGCGTTGACCGTGGGTGCAGATGAGGGACATGCCAGGCATTACCCATGTAATCCGAAGTAACGAAAGTAGCGCGGCAAAGCAACACCCGCTTGGCGGAGCCAGGTCGTAGAAGCAGGAGCACTGGTTACAGCCGGCGCAGAATGATTATTCATTGAGCACCTGAAGCGCTGTCCGCGACGAACTGGTCTCAGCGACATTTTAGCGCTTGATTGATCTGTACTGCTAGCTCGGGCTTGTCCTGACAGTTTCCGTGTGTACTTGATATGGGCTATCAGACGGGGCAGTAGGGGGAAGCGTGCTATGAGCTCTGAGCATTATTCAGCTACTTCTTCTTCTCTCTAGCCTTAGTCCGCGCCGTCGGTCCGTTGTTCTTGTTGGACGTCGCCATCTACTCCAATCCACTGCCACGGCTTTCACTTCAGTGAGGTCCTTCTTGATGACGTCCCTCCATCTTTTCTTTGGGCTAGTCACTTGCCCTCTATTTCGAATTCCAGCGTCTTCCTTACTGGGTGGCCCTCAGGCCTCGTCAGTGCGTTCCCATACCATCGCAGTCTCGTGCCTTCATTTGGCTTGCATATGGGCCAGCAGTCGCTGCCGTAGAGAACGCAGTCCTAACTACTGACCGATAGACCTTGCCCTTGAGCGTTTTCGAGCACCGCTAGTCGCACAGGATGCCAGTGGACTCCCTGCATTTCAGCCAGGCTGCGTTGATTCAAGCCTTCACCGCCTGGTCCACGCTGCCATCAGCTGCTAGGTCGCTCCCTAGGTACTGGAAGTCTTCGACCCTTCCGATGCTCTCGCCATGGCAGTCTACGATAGGTTCGTTACACTCTACGAAGCTCAGGAACTTGGTTTCCTTTACGTTCAGCCGGAGTCCATTCTCAGCGAGCACATCCTGTCACCGCTGCACCTTGCCCTGGAGTTCTTCCCTGTTGTCTACTATTAGGGCGATGTCGTCAGCGTAGAAGATGGTTTCCAGTAATCCCTCCCTAAGTTCTTTGGCCATGACATCCAGAGTCAGGAGGAAGAGGAACGAGCTGAGGGCTAATCTTTGGTGTACTCTAACAGTGATGTATGCCCCCCCCCCTTGTCAAGCCGTGTGGAGTGCGTACAAATGCCTAAGCGCCGTCATACATGCCTTCACTTTAGAGACCAGGTGCTCCGGAACCTTGCATTCTCTAAGCGCTCTCCAGAGTAAAGGCCGAGGCAGACGGTCGAATGCCATCTCAAGGTCCAGGCAGGGTAGGTAGCAGGGTCGCCGCCTCGGTACTTCTCCATCACCTGTCTAGCGATGAAGATGGCATCAATGGCAGACCTTCCGGGCATGAAACCGCACTGTTCCTGCGAGATAGCGACAAGTTTCCCTAGCCTGGTGTTGACCAAGCGCTCGTACGGCTTCATGATATGGGGATTCAATATGACACCGCGATAGCTGAAGCACTTCATCACGTCTCCTTTCTATTTGAAGATGGGGACGATTGTGCTGCTCCTCTGCGCTCTTACGGCATTTTCCCTCCAGTTGTTACTCTGTCAAGGAAGTGAGGAAGCCAGCTTATTTAATGCTATCTAAAGGCCACCTCTATCGGTATCGCATCTAGGCCCACTGCTTTCCCCAACCTTCATTCTTCTTAACTCCCGGCGGATTTCATTCTTCGTCTAGAAAATGACGGGACCTGTCGCCGCCTCCATCTGTGGACACTCGCTGCGGGGGAATTTCCCGTTCAGTGTCCCTCAATTTAATCTGCCCATCGCATTCTGACTTTGGCTGTTTCCTAGGAGTGCCACCGTTGCCGCTCTTCATAGTTTTTTACTACCCTGGTGCCTTGCGTCGCGCGATGCCGAGCTTTAGCCAGGCGGAAGACGAACTTTTCCCCCTCTCAGCTCTCCGGCTTCTTGTACAGGGCGTCTATTTCCGTATTCTTGGCCTTGACAACGGCTGCTTCATTGGGTCCCTTGCAGCTCTTGTAGGCAGCAATGTTTTCTGGGCTTCTTGTCTTTTGCCAGCCTTCTGCTTCTGCTTGACAATTCCCGTGACCCCTCTTCCAAAACCACGTTGCCTTGTCTGCTCTGATCTCACCTCGCATCTCTCCCAGGACTTCCTTTGCACAGGATGACCTTTGCTGCGTTGGTCTAGGTCTCTGGACTCGCCCGTGTGGCTCCGAAAACCCATTCCAGTAGTCTTCGGTCGAGAGACTATCCTTTTCCCTTGCGCATTTTCCACCGCCGGATTCTCCTCTCCCTCGCTTCCTTGTGGTGGTCTATGGCGATGTCTGCCAGGAGAGGTCTATGATGAGAGCCCAGGTTTTTCCCAAGCAGTACCTAAATATCTTTCACGCTTTTGAGGAACGATCTTCACATGGTCGATTTTCGTTTGTCTCCCTTCACTGCTGTAAATTATCTTCTGTCTTTCTTTTCACTTGGCTGCAAATTGCTAAGTCATGAGCTGTGGCCAGGTTAAGGATCCTTCCTCCCTCAGCGTCCCTTGCTCTTATTCCTCGAGCCCCATGCACCCTTTCTAGACCCCTTCTGTCACTTCCCACACGGCCATTAAGATCACCAGCTATGGTGAGAGAGTCATCTTCCGGAACCCCTCTTATGGCTTTTCTAAGGTCACGTAGAACCCATCCTTTTCCGCTTCGGGCAACCTGATCAGTGTGCGTATACCACCAGCATTGCCCAGTACCCCTCCGTCGTTTCATTCTCACTCCCATGGTCCGATCACTCATCCTATTCACATAGGAGTTGCAGTCCTTGAGGGATTCTGCCACCGCTATGGCCACATTCTCTCATGTAGAAGAGTCTGAAGAACTCAGCTCCAATCTCGCGCGCCTTCGCTCTTTAGATAGCGTTTGCACAGGAATTTGATATTCCTGCGTCTCACGACGTAGGTAACCTTTCAAAACTTCTCGGTGAGCGACCCCACAGTCAGTATTCTATTTCAAACTAGCTTTTTTGGATGAGGTGGTTCACCCTTCTAGCCCTCGCATACTAATCACAGAACTCGAGCGAGGGTTCTGCGCGCCACTTCCGGATGAGGTCCCAGCATTAACACTGGTTCTATTGCGAATTGTCATTATCGCTGTGACGGGTTTCTCCTTTAGCCTACCTGTCTATCTGACGCTGGTGTCGTCACCACTTTTTTTGCAAAGCATGGTTTGTGCCTCGGCAGAGGTCTACGTGGTTCAGAGTGCAAACGCAAGTGTGGCTGCGATCAAAATTTGAGATATAAATGATGAAATGGTAATCAGGAAATACGAAATTAAATTCTCCACGTTAGTACCATTCAGCACTCGGCTGAAGCTGAAGAGAGGGGTGATCAGCGTTAGCAGAACCTGGGCGACCAGAGTGGGCGCAGCTACTAACGGCGCCAATTTGGAGTCACCGAGTGGTGCCTGGGCCAAAATCAGAGACTGTTCCCGCGATCAAGTATCATGGATAACTGCCGTTTAATTACGAACCAGAAGCCGATAATCGATTCCCCAAGGAAGAAAAAAGCAAAAGGAATATCCAAAAACACCATAAGTAACCGCTC